TCCACAGGCAACAGGAAGTGAACTGTTTCCCACACTGAGTGTAGCTTGAGCACATGAGACTTCAAAACCTGCCCCCACAATAATACTCCTCCTCCAACAAAACCACAACTACTCTAACAAGGCCTCACCTCCTAATAGTACCACTCCCTATAGGTCAAGCCTATCTATTGAAACCACCACACATGGTAAAGGATGTCAGTCAGGACCAGGCAGCTAACAGAGTGGGATGTGAGATGGGGCATATGCTGCAGAGTGTGATACTGTCTAGTGTATGTGGAGTGTCAGTGGCATGATGTCTAGCTAGCCCTGATAAATAGCAGTGTATGCTATATGGCTATGAGAAGTGGAAGTGTTTAGCATGGCCTTATACAAAACACATTATGTGGATGGACAGTAGTGTCCAGCCATATCTCATACATAGTACTTTATAGACATGTGCAATGGGATGGGGTGCCCAGTGGAGCTTGAAACCTAGATATTTGTATGTGTTATACACACCTCTTCTTCCTAGTGACATTCACAGGTATTCCTAGCTGTCATACATTCCTAGTTTGTAGGCTGTGCTGCAATGCCTGATTTCTACCCATGCATATGAAGAAAATTGGCAGGGAGTGTTGTTGTACAACAGGGCCTTGTATGTTTAAGTTGATAGCTAGCAGTTTAATGTGGGTGGTATGGGCCTGTGCAGCTCTAGTCTTTATGACCTCCACAAACAGCAGGGAGGAGACTTGCCATCTGTTAGTCAGAGTAAGAGAGTAACAGAACTTGTAGAATGACTTACAGGCTGTGGTCCAGCTAATCCAGCCATAGGTGCTTATGAACAGATGGTCGAAGAATCCAGCAGATATTCAGCCCACAAGGCTGGATGTCTCAACTGGTCTTCAGTATATGCCAGAATCATGAATAAGCAGGCTCTAAAGCCAGTAAACAGATGGAACTGCTAGTGAGGGCAAGAGCAAGCAGGCAAAGAGCAAAAGCTTTCTTCTTCCATGTCCTTTATATAGGCATCCAGCAGAAGGTGTGGCCCAGATTAAACCTGGGTCTTCCCACCTCAAAGATTACAAATGGATCTTCCCACATCAAATGATTCAGTTGAGCAAAAATCCCTCACAGTTGTGCCCAGTCGTTTTTTTTGGGTTTTAGTTAATTACAGATGTAGTCAAGCTGACAACCAAAAATCATATCATAACATATCTAAAAAATTCCATCTCTTCTTCTTTACACTTCTCCTCATTAGTCCCAGAAGTTGAGGAGTCAAGAGCAGAGCTCCCAGATGAATTATAGCTGGAAACTACAACCCAACCTGGGCCTGGAAAGGGCTCTGCTTTTAGTCAGTCCCTCATACAACAGGATGGAGGATGGAGAGGTGCTATGGGATAATGCTCTTGTACACTGGTTTAATAAAACACTGATTGGCTAGTAGCCAGACAGGAAGTATAGGTGGGGTGAGCAGACTAGGAGAATTCTGGGAAGAGGAAGGGAGAGTCAGGAGTCTCCAACCAGACACAGAGACTGGCAGATGGCAAGGCAGAACTAAGAAAAGGTACCAAGCCATGTAGCTAAACATAGATAAGAATTATGGGTTAATTTAAGTGTAAGAGCTAGTCAGTAATAAGCCTGAGCTAATGGCGAGCAGTTATAATTAATAGAAGCCTCTGTGTGTTTACTTGGGGTCAAGCAGCTGTGGGATGCAGGTGGGAGAGATTCATCCCTACCATAGGGCTGGGCAGGACTGGAGAAACCTTCTGGCTACAAAGAGGCATCTATGGACAAGGAAGGGAGAAGGGCAGAGCACATTTGCCTGAACCAATTCCTGTGCTGTAATAATAACAAAAAATCCAGATGGCTTAGAAGAGGGATTTGTTGTCTCCAAGCTCTGAGGTCCTGGGGTGTGGCAGGGCCAGGCTCCCTCTAGTGGCCTATCAGGGATCTGCTCCAGCCAACCTCCAGTTCTGTTTTCTAGGCTGGTGGCAGCAGCAGAGATTCAGTGTCCACAGGTCATCTTCCCTGTGTGATTCTGTGTCTCAGGCTTCCTTGTCATAAGGCATGAGGCTGTATGGGTTTCTCCTATGACTTTTACAGCTTCCACATCGTGTTTTAATTTTATATTTACAGTCAGCCATAACCTTTGTGGCAGTGAATTTTTCCACATGGATTTTGTATTGTTTGTTTTTCCAATACTTGTTCTGCAGTCTTTTGTGGATGGACCATTTTCTCTGCCTTGGTTTCCCTGGGTGCCTCTGACAAAATCAGTTGACTTGATTTAGGTGGGTCTGTTGCTGGACTCTGGCCGGCTCCATGTGTCTAGTCTCCATTCCTTCCCCTGAGCACTTTCTGTATCACTGAGGCTTTTGGTAAGTGCTGGAACCAGAAGCTCGGGGTCTTGAGGGGTCGCTTCCGTCCTCTGCCATCTCTTCCAGGGTTAAGCCCAGTTACTTGCTTCATTTGATGTGTTGGGCATCGGTTTGTCATTCTGCTGAGTCTTTAGATGAAGTTCAAAAGATCTGTCACCTTAACAACTGTGCTGCTGAAGAACAGGGGTCTGAGAGCCTATCCCTTTAGATTCCTCTCAGCCATGCCTCAGTGTTCTGAATGCCAATTTATGAAAACTATGTTGGATTTCTACTTCAGTTACTACAGTATTTGAGTCTGCTGTAAACTGTATCTATGTGATACCAATGAGAGATGGTTCAACTGGCTGCCCCCAACTTTGCCATCTTTATGTTAGTGGTGACCTGGGACAGGGTATGCAGGGACACTGCCCTCCTCAAGAGATTCAGCCCAGCAGCCAGGCACAGATGAACATTCACTTCTCAAAGCTCTGCTGAGACTCTTTCTTAATCTGCTCAGGCAGGTTTTCTGGAGCATCTATGAGGACAGAGAGGCATGGATGACCTCCTGCACTATGACAATGCAAACAGGGCTGGCTGATGGGGATATGTCCAATTTTCAGCTCCCCGCCCCGCATCTTTCCTCCAAGATGTCCCTTCTGCAAACCCCAAGATCTTATTGAGGAGAAGACAGGGAGGCAACTGGTCTTCATTTGACCCCTGGAGGAGAAGGGTCATCATCCTCCACAGCTTGTCCCACACTGACTGATGCTGCCTGGCATTTCATCCCTTCTTTCAGAACCTCAGGAACTGATGTGCTAGTTGCCCCAATAAATGAACTGGAAAGTGCCTCTCCACCACCACCACCACTACAAGGCTTACCACTGCAGGACTTCAGGGCAAAGAGTCTGCAGGATGTGGTCAAGCAAATACAAGAGGAAGAGCAGTCCAGCCATGGAGAAGCTGACAGAAAGCTCCACCTTCCCCACAGGCAGGGCCTGTGGATGCCATGGAGACAGACAAGATTCTTTAGTGCAGACATCAGCATATTCTAAGGAGAGAAGTAGAAAAATGACTCAGTGACTTTTTTCTTCATTATCTTTTAGCCAGGTACACATTGGAGTATACATACACACTGGAAAAGAGCCTTAGAATAAATGGTTATTTATTGGAACAAATACAATAAATGGTGCTGGCGCAGCAGGACATCCACCTAAAGAAGAGTTTAGATAGATCTGCATCTCTCATCTTGCTCAAAAAATCAGTTCAAAATAGACAGGTGATCTGAATTTAAACCATGAAATACTGAAGCTGTTAGAAGGAGAGAAAGGAAAACACGTCATACATAGGCATAGACAAGAGCTGCCTGGCTAGAACACCAGTAACACAGGAAGGGACCCTATAAACTGACAAATGAGTTAGCATGAAATTTAAAAGCTTCTGCACAGCAAAAGATGCTATCATTAGAGGGAACTGGCAGCCCAGAGCATGGGATAAGTTTGCTGGTCACACTTCCTGTGAGGTGGTAATATCTAGAATGCACAAAGAATTACAAATATTCAAAACAAAAAAAATGATCAATAAATTGACTAATGAACTGAACAGATTTTAAAAGGAAATACACAGAAGCCAGTAAGTATTTTATAAAGTCTTCAACATCTTTATTCTTAAGGTAAATTCAAGTTAAGACCACTTTGGATTCCATCTCACCTAAACCACAATGGCTGCGATCAGACAAAAAATGAGACATTCTGGCAAGGATGTGGGGAAGGGACCCTCACCAACTGCTATTGGGAGTCTAAACTGGAGCAGCATGGTGGAAATCAGTACAGAGGTTCCTAAAAAACAGAACTACCATAGGCCCAGGTCTACTAATCCTGAGCATGAACTCAAAGGATGCTATCTACATCCAGGGAGATACCCACACATCCATGCTGACTGTGGCACTATTCACAACAGTTAGTTACAAAAAGTACCTTAATGAATCATATAATTTATGCTAATTCAAATAAAATAAACATGTAAAGAAAAGGGACAAATATGAAGCACTAAAAATGTTGGTTTATTTCATAATTAGCCATATACATTCTTACGATAGAGTATTGAATTTCATTTTTTCTTGACATTCTATTAACTGAAGTTAGTAAATTAAAATTATATTCTTTTAGATTTTATTGCAAATTGGCAAAGTGAAATAGTGTGAGACAAAAGGAAGTTCCATGTCTGAGTTGAGGCAAGGAATGACCTCATAATGAACAGATGTGGATCTACAGACAGAAGACATCCTGAGGGCGACAATCCCTGAGACACAAGTCAAGTTCCACAAGAAGCCCAATGTGTCAAAAACTATGAACCTGATGGACTCAAGCAGACATCGTCCAGGAGACAGAGAGATTCTGGGGCTCAGGGGGAAGGAACAAAGCAAGGGGGAAGGAAAGTCTATCTGACTTCTTCAGCAGGAGGACTTGGAAGGAGGGAGCAGGGAACCCAGGAGTTAGGAGGGTCTGCTGGGCTGCATGCTGGGGAGGGGCTGTGCCTCCCTCCCTCCTGCCAGCAGCCCTTTGTGATGAGGAGGCCACAGCTGTGTGATGTGAGCCTGAGCCCTCCTGACAAGCCTCAGGCTGTACTCCCAGGACTCAGTTGCTTGAGAGCCTCAGTGAGATTCAGAAAATGGAGAGTTCTGTCCTTCAGCTGAAAAGCCTTAGTGACTCCTGGATGAGTCTCAGCTCCATTTTCATAGCAATGGACGTGATCTTTGGCATTATGTGTGGAGTGGGGCTCTTCTTCCTACTGATCCCCTTCCTGAAGACATACCCAGTGTCACCACCACCTGGGAGTGGAAAGAACACCCCAAAGGTGAGGAAAGCCTTGGCTGAAACACAATGGAGTGTGTTCAGTCTGTTGTTCACTACTGTTATGTTCACATTTCCTACTCAAGTAGAGAGACAGGTGAGAGGAAATCTCCAGAAAGAACAGCACCTCATCTGCAGGGACTGGAAAGTCGGGCAGAGGGGAGAGTGGCCTTGAGGTGTGTGCCTGAAGCTCTCAGACCATCTGTGCGGTGTGGCTACTAAGAGAGGCCACTAAAGCAGACGGTGGCACCATGGGCTCCATTTCTGAGATGGTGGGGAGCTCTGTCTGGGACAGGACAGGCTCTGAGAAAGGGGTCATCTGTCCTCTGCTCAGATACAAGCTTTTGTGTATGTTGACGTGATGGGGGGGGGGGGGGGGTGATGAGACCAAGGGCCTGAGATCAGGGTTCAAGTCACCTCTGGTCTGAGGAAGCAGATCTTACATGACAGCCCAGAGGCAGCAGCAGAGCTCTGCCTTGGGTGGGATCCTGTCTGAGGAACACTGACTGAGGACATCCATCTAAGTGTGGTATAGACAGCCCCTGCTTGTGTCTTCCAACAAGGCCAAAAGGAAATGTGTTTATGTATGGAACAACTAAGTCAAGGGTGGATGAGAGAAAGCTCTCTGGGAAATGTGGATTTCATGTTATCCATGAGCACAGAGGGCAGGCAGCTTGTCAATTAGAGGAAGAATGGGCCCAGCTGATTTTTGTCCTTTTTCACTGTCAGGTGATGAGGAGGAGGCCGAGCAAGACCAGGAAGAAAAATGCTTCTGGAAAAGGTAGGTTTCTGCTTTCCTCTAGAGAGGCAATTCCATCTGCCCTGTGCCTCAGTGATGAGAGCCATGTTTCTGAGGATACAGGATGTGGAACACCGAGAAAGAAGAGGAGGCTGCTGGGAAGGAAATCAGAATCAGGGAAACTCCCCAGGTCCTGGATAGAAGGAAGCTGTGCTTGGCCTGGGGTGGGTGCTGCCCATGGGGGTGCGGTTCAAGGCAGTGGAGTGATGCTGTGCCTGTGTATGGGGGACTCCCAGGTCCACCTGACAACAGGTAGCTGCAGTTCTCTTGGGCCCACTCCTCTTTCAGATGGCTGGTCCAGTGTCCCTCACGGTGTTGTGTGGGGATGACAGGGGTTGAGGGAGGAGCAAGGAGAGTGTAAATGGAGAGATCTGGTCCCTCCATGCCACCTGCTCGTTTTCAGTGTGCCGTGTGCTTGGACACTGGCGGTTGGCATCAGAGTCCTCGCATGGGTGGTCTTTAAGAGAGGTGCCTCACTCTCCTGTGAGATCTCGGTCCTCTCCCTTATCCCACATAACTATTTTCAGGTTGTAGTGATGACAGAAAGAGTGTGGAAGAGAACCAGAATCCATCACAACCTGTGGAAATGTAAGAAGTCTCTGTCTTGTGGAATTATTCATACGAGGATGTGAGCTTGGGCTTTTGGGTTTTTTGTACTGGCAATACTAAGAATGGTGGGATTAAGATACAGCCCTGTTGGATATGACAGTAAAGGATATGGGAGGCAGAAGCCACAGAGCAACTATGGGATATAGGTGTCATATTTACACCAACTGATGGGCATCTTGACCCTCTGCTTGGAGCTGATGGTTTTGCCTCTGTCTTCTGCAGCCCTATCAAGCAACTGTTATTGGACTCTGCATCACTCCCCTTTGGGAAATCTAATGAGAAACAGGATCAGCTTCCCCTCTCTCAGCTGCTGTCTCACCTCAAGTTCTTGGAGGATGTTATACAGCAAAAATTTAGCCAGATTTTCTGGGGCATGTCCTCTGTGCTCTCTGAGTCAGTGGTGGCTACTGCCTGGGTCTCCAAGAGGCCTTACTCTGCAAGACATAAAACCGTGAGGTTCAGTGATACAGTTGATCCTTTCCCAGCTCTGCCTCTCGCTCAAGGACCTCCACACATTTCTCAGGCCCAGCCGTTGCCCCACCAACTTGTGACACCAAGCTTGGCAGATTTGACAGAGGTCCAGACACTGTATAACCTCCCAAGCTCTACACCAAACCAAGTACTTTCTTCATCCACAAGTAGAGCCAGTGAAAAACCATATCCTACCATAAAGTCAAGGATAAAGGCATCCCTCCTGACTGAAAACCAGCCCTGGCAGCAGGATCTGGAGTGGAAAGACACCATAGGCTCCAATGTCCAAAATCATCAAGCAGCCATTAGCCAGCCCACTCACAAGTTGCCCAGGGACCTCCCACCCGCTGAAGCTATCGGGTCGGCCTCTATCCCTCCTGAGCATTGTCAGTTCCTCCAGCACCATGAGGAGCCACACAGTGAATACAGGATGACGAAGGTGAGAGAACAAGGCCCCCCCTTCAGGTTCCTCCCATCCCAGGAACTGACGCAGCTGCAGGGACACTTCCCAGCAAACAGTCGTCGCCAGTCTAAGGACAAGCCTGAACTCCCCCAGCCTGCCCAGCCCTCCATCCTCGACTACAAAAGCTGCAAGTCGAGTCAGATGATTGAGACTACGCCCTCAGGGATGCCCTTAAAGAAGGGCCCAGCAAGATGTAACATACATGAACTCATCAAGGAGGGCCCCAGTTTTAGGGCCAAAGTCTTGCCTTGCACTTCAAGCAGCACCCCTGGGCAGGGTCTGAAACCCAGAAAATGTGCACTGAGGACAGAGCAGCTGTCCTATGTGAACACCACCCAGGACCTTTCCTTCCTTGACCCTGAAACCCAAAGGAAACTGGACTCAAACATCAAACAGCTTCCTACAAAACACAGATGGAGACCATATCTACAGACTCTTGTGTCAAAGGATCTCATCCCACCAGGGGTTCCAGCCTCATTCCTTCCCCAGCTTGTCTATCCCTCCTCACCCTCTTCTGTTTCTAAGGTTGAATACTATTCCAAGGCTGCCATGATCCTGGAAAAATTGCATCACCGAGATCCAGGAGGGACAAGGGTAGAAACTGTGTCGGCGTCCAGGCTGCAGAGTCCTCTGTTTGCACACTCACCTTCAGAGGTTCAGGAGATGCAAAGAACCACCCCACCAGCTGCCAGCCATGGGCCCGCCAAGGCCCATCCAGATACACGGCAGAGCTATCTGAGCACTCAGACCCGGGCTTTCTGCTTCCAGGCAAAAACCCAGAAGAGCAGGATTGTCCAAGGGACTGGAAGAGGCAGCCTGCAACCGAGGGCCAGCCCAAGAATGCCCAAGCATGCAGCATGGAAGAGGTTTGAGGATGTGGCCTCAGGACATCCCTGCTGGAGTGGGACAATGCCGGACCCTCAAGAAAGGGTCCCACCTCCAGTGGTCAAACAAACCAATAGATCGGAGGAGAAAAAAGAGACAACTCCTGCATGGAAAGTGAGTCTGGGATTCACAGAGATTCCCATTGGCCAAGCCATCAATATCCATCTCAGGGACTTTGAGTTTAAAGAGGCCAGTAGAAGCCCAGGCCGTTTGCAAACACCTACTCCACAGCACTCAGGAGATTCAGCTCTAAAGACACAAGTGTGTAGTGAGATTGACTTCAGATCAAACAAGCAGCCACAGGCCCGGCCTGTGGGCCATCATAAAAACAGCCTCAGTTCAGTGAGTTTGCCTTCAGAGCATTTGCTTCCCAGCTTCCAGAATAGATCCAAAAAACCCAAGACTTTCCAGGACCTAGATGATATCTTCATGAGGAGAGATCCGAGCCAGGAGACTCAGAACTTCAGAGTTCCCAAGAATAAGATTCAAGCAAAGAATCACAAGGCATTTCATCCCAATGACAAGAAGAAGGAGTTGGTGAGAAGCAGAGCCACATGCCAGGAAGAAAGTTCAGGGAGAGGGAGGCCCTCTACCCCAAGCTTTACCCAGTTCAAGGATACATCATCCATAACTGAGTTTCAGCCCTCTTTTGATATGCCAGAAAAGGGGCAGGCTCTGCCAGAAAATAATCTGAAGAAAATGAAAAGGATTTTTCTACAATATCTCGACCTCAACACAAAAGACAAGGGGCAGGGGGATTCTCTGAAGAGTGAAAACTCTACACCAGCCACTGTGATTACCCAGGAGGCAGACTCAAAAGAAAAGCTCCTCTACAGTATGGTAGTTGAAATGCAATACATCATGAATGTTGTGGTACAGATCCTAGTGAACTGGCTGGGTCTTAATGTAGGAGACCCAATAGAGGAACAATGGTATAAAGTGGAACCTCTGACATCCCATCTGAGTCACTCTCCTAAGGGTCTCTATGACCCTAAGAATAGCAGACCAGAGAGACTAATGTGCCCCGAGGGTCAGAGCCATCCATCCATATATAAGGGAATCAGAGACAAACAGCAGTTGGTTGTTGGTGCCCAGAGAGCCTGTGATCAACATCAGAACAGAGTGAAGAGTGGAATGGGCTATGGCCAACTCCCCACTCCCAAGGGGAACAACCATCCATGTAGGAACAGGGGAATTGGAGACAAACAGCAATTAGATGTTGATGCCCAGAGAGCCTATGACCCAAATCAAATTAAAATGAAGAGTGGAAGGGGCTGCTATCCACATGCCAGCCCCAAAGGACACAAACATCTATTTATGCACAGAAATGTTAGAGATAAGCAGCAATCAGGCATTGTCCAGAGGGCCTGTGACCCACATCAAAGGACAGAAAAGGGAATGGGCTGTGGCCACCTCATCGGTCCTAGAGAGAACAACCATCCAGTCACATACAGAGGAAGTGGAGACAAGAAGCAGTCATATGCTGCTGCCCAGAGAGCTGGTCACCCCAAATGGACCTTACCAGCATAGGCCAAGGAGCGGGTGCCTCAGGCCACTTTGACCTTTGCCCATCAAGAGTTCTACCAAAAGCTGTCTCATTGCCCAGCCTTTTCTTCCCCCATGCTTTCCTGGTAATAAATGTTGGATTTTTCCTGCAAAGGAAATCTTCCTACAGAAACTCATTCTCTTAGCAAATGGCTCCTTCCCAGATAGGAGCCACTTCCTAGTTCATGCTGGTGCTTTTCAGTGCAGTGGTTTCTGTCTTGCCGTGATGGGGAGGGGAGGTCAGCATCCTTCTGCCTCAGTGCAGTCTCTGGAAGGGATGGGGCATGTGGGGAAGGCAAGGTCACTTTGAGGTGTCATCCTCACCCAGTTCCACCACTGTGCACTTATCATTCCATCGTTACAGAGACAACAGAATCTAGGGATCTTTCAGGGTGAGAAACCCTGTGAAGACCCCACCCAGGTCTGTGGCTCGTTGTCTTTTCCTTACTTTGCTCCACCTTGATGTTTGTGTCACTGTGCAGGTTGGTGTGCAGAGACAACAGGGAGCCAAGGACCTTCTCATGTCACACACTGTTTCAACCCTCAGTTCAAAGGTAGGACAATTTCAACAGGACAGGCATAGAGAACACCTACCCCAGGAGCCCCTACTCACCTTGATGCAGGCAGAGGAGGGGCTGAGCGCCTCTTACCTCAGCCTGGGTGACAGGTCAGTGACACTGTTCACAATCTGCCTTCCTTTCTGATCAGAGCAGGGGCCACAATAGAACTTGCAGTGTGTGACATTGGATGGCTCCTGAGGGCTGTGTCACACAGGCCTGCCTAGTAACTCAGGAAATATGGTAATATTTTATTTGTGCTGAAATGTGATTTTATTTGTATGTTAATAAATAAAGTTGCCTGGGAATCAGAGCTAAAAGCAAACCATTTAGCAGAAGTCCGGAAGTGATGGCACACGCCCTTAATCTAATCACATGGCAGGCAGAGTCTCTGTGTGGTCAAGGACACAGCCAATCGGTGACCTAAACCTTTAATCCCAGTACCAACCATAGAGACCTGGAGGTCTCTCTAGACAGGCAGTGACGAGGAAATCATGTGGTTGGGTTTAGAGCCAATGAGAAGGTAGAACAGAAAGGCAATAAAAAGACAGGTCACACAGGAGAAGGTCTCTCTCTGAGGGGAAGGACGGCAGCGACTGGTAAGCTAAAGGCTATTGGCTAGTGCTGGGATCTCTTGGGCTTTTAACCCTGTATTTGGCTCTGTGTTTCTTATTTAATAAGACCGTTTAGAATTTTGTGTGCAAGGAAGTGCCTGCAGAGAAGCCACAAACATCTCATTGGGATCACTCAGTCCCCTCCCTGGAGTCCTGTATCCATCATGTCCATGCCATCACCTGCGCCAGACCCAGAACTCTCAGTCATCATGGCCTCCAAGTGGGGTTCTCTACTTGGGCTAAAGTTCTAATGTTCTTCCTAGGTCATGTAATTGTCTCTCACCCATCTTTAATAGGATAAAACACAATAAAGACTGTTCACCTCTAGTGAGAGACTGTCTTGATTCTTTTCAGCTTTAGGTGACCTCCACTCAAATGACTAAGTGCCCTGCCCTTCCAGTCTCACCTTGTGTTAATCCATGTCCCCTCTGTGCTGCCATCTGGATATGCATCTCATGTGACATTGTATCAATGCTTCTCTGGTGTAGAGAATGCCTAAGTCAGCTTGTAGGTTGGTTCTTGGTGGAAGATTTCCATATGGATAATAATTTGTGAAATCCATATTTGTAGCTAGAAGTTTCTCCGGTCCTGCCTGGGCCCTGCAGTCCCGGGACCTGCTTATAAAATAATCACACAGAGGCTTAATATTATTTATAACTGCTTGACATTAGCTCAGGCTAATTACTGACTAGCTCTTACACTTAAACTCAGCCCATTTCTGTTAATCTATATGTCGCCATGTGTTTCATGGCTTTACCTGTGTGCCATTACATGCTGCTCCCTGGACAGTGGGCTGGCATCTCCTCACTCAGCCTTCCTTTTCTCAGAATTCTCCATGTCTACTTATCCTGCCTATACTTCCTGCCTGGCTACTGGCCAATCAGAGTTTTATTAAACCAATGTACAAAAGCATTATTCCACAACATTTCCCCTTTTCTGTTTAATTAAAAAGGAAAGTTTACCTTTAACATAGTAAAATTATATATAACAAAACAGTTATCAAGCAAGAATTACAGTTACAATATCTAGTCTATTTATATTTGGCAAATTTGAAGAAAATATTCTATTTATCCTATATTTGTGAGTCTAAGTTTTCATATCTAACTTATCTTTTATCATAACTAAGGAAAATTATATCTAGTTTTCAATTACATCAAAGACCTCAGAAGGATACAATATTACCTAAGTAACCAGGAAGATCATTGTAAGCAACTTCCAAAGATCTAGAATGACAGAGATAGCTGGCTGCCTGGACAGTCACCCAACGATCCTCTGCAATGTTGGCACATCCATTCTTCAGTCCACAGGCCTAGATTCACTCATCACTTCTCGCTGTGTCCTGTAGAATGTCTGGCAATTTCTTCTGTGAAGCAGGAACCTAAAGAACCATCTGGCCTTGCAAAGTTCAGTGGTCACCTTCCTATGGGTCCTGCATGTCCAGTTTATACAATATACCATCAAACAGTCCGGGCAAGAGCAGTTTCTTGCCCAAATGACTAACTTTTTGCCAAGAAGAAGATAAACTACGTATGGAGTGTCTTTGGTGCCCATCTACCTCTTTGAAGTAAATCAATGCTGCTAAGAGCAGACTTGTCTCTCTGTCCAGAAAGTCTAAATTTTTAAAACATTTTAAATGCCATATTCTCTAGGCCTTTGAAGTGTTTGAAGATTACCTACCTAATTGAAATATATCTATGTATACCTAGACAACTTAAACATGACTATAAGTTTGACTATCATAGAAAACTAATTATTAATTTGTATTTCTTAATTATCCATTACAATTTAAATAAGCTCCACAAACATAATATCTTAAACAAGAGTAGAAATATACATACAGTATAACAAAATTAACTTTAAACTTGTATCAATAAACTAAAATCAATAGCATTATAAAACATTTCAAGGCTGGGCGGGGGTGGCGCATGCCTTTAATCCCAGTACTTGGGAAGCAGAGGCAGGCGGATCTCTGTGAGTTCGAGGCCAGCCTGGTCTCCAAAGCAAGTTCCAGGAAAGACGCAAAGCTACACAGAGAAACCCCGTCTCGAAAAACAAAACAAACAAACAAAAAAATTTCAAACAAGTTGTTGCTCTTTAAAAGTAGATTCAATAATCTACTCTTTCATCCTATCATATCGATACTATCTCCTTTTCTTCTTTAGAAAGAGATTGCCTTTATAATCAACCCCCTCCAAATAAAAATAAATATTTATAAACAATATTTTGAGAATTTAGGCATAGCTTCTCTGTGGGGCGTTTACCCAACCACCCCCACAGTTCCCCAGAGTTTTCTTGAGTGCGAGCAGCAGGAAATATTAGATAGAAGGATTTATTGCGGAGAATCTTGCGAAGATAAACAGATAGAAAATAAAGGATAGCCTCGAGAGGGCCTGGAACCTATTCCAACGGGCCCTGACTGTCTCGGCCCCAGGGTTTTTATAGAGACGCCAGGGGGTGGAGCAAAAGACCTCCTCCCCCAGCACAGTCAAGTGCAGACCATCTCAGACACCTGCACTCAGGCCCGTGGTCTAATCATCCTCTATGCGGACCTGCTGGGTAAAGCCACGAGGAACCTGAGAACGGGCTCCCACAGGTCCCCCTTTCTTAATATATAAAAAATAACTATTAATGGCTTACAGCAATCTCCATAGCTGTTACACCTCCCAATATGGGAATAGAGGATGATAAAGATGGCATTTCTCTTTTGAATTAGGTCCAAGGTGAGTATAGCAGTCTTAGCTGCCTCAAGCCCTTTCTAAACCAAAAACTCTTAAGGCAACTACAAACTTAAAGAATCCCTTAGCTTCATCATTACCATTAACAGGTTAACATAAATATTGCTATACATAGTCACAATTCTCTCAATCTTACAATTCAAAGCAAACTCTTAACAGAACCATTTGAATTAGCATATATGGTGCTATATATAGTTAACAATTTTCTCCGTCTTACAACTTTAACTCAATCATTTGAATTTTCTTGCTAACAGAACATAGGAAAAACTTCGATGTATTCACATCAAACTTAAATATTTCCTTACCTCCACAAAACCAGGGTGCATTAATATCAATAGGTTTCTGTGAACATACATTCAACCTTAATTCACTCATAACTCCTCCTTTTCTTTATAATTTTTTAAACATAGTCCCAAGGCTAGTTAGAAAACCCAAACTTTTCTGTTTAAGCAGTTCTATTTGTAACACAAAACCAGTTCCAGAAAACAGTTTCTAGGTCATTACTGTAAGTAAACTCAAAATTGTCCCATTGCAATGCAATCTATTGTTCAGTTCATTAAGTCTAGAATTCAGATGATAAATTCTGGTACTAGCCTTCCAAATATGAAGAAATCCAGAGCCAAAATCTTTCTGTAGTTTTATTTTTGTTCAAACAAGCATCTCCGAACTTTTATTCTCAAGCCAGAGACCTTTTTAGGTACAGTAGTATTCTAAACCGCACCGTTTTTGATGTTAGCTCAGGTTTCTCTGTGTTGCGTCGATTTTCCACAGATCTCAGCTGCGGATGCCTTGTGCTGGTTCTGGTGTCCGCCATTCTAAGCTTCTTAGCAGCTTCTGGAACTTTTGAAAACCGCTCAGACTGCCTGCTTTGCAGTCTGCTAGGACACTAACTTCTGTATCTCAGGTTCTTTCAACATATACATTAAGAATAGACTCACACTTAACATTTACACTTTTTTACAAACTCACATATAACTTTTTTTGCAAAGCATTTAGACTCACATTCAACATTTACATGTTTTTACAAACTCACATATAACATATTATCATCTACTTATTTATACTCCTTAAGGAAACTA